CAAGTCGGCAATTTGGGTGTTGTGCAGCTATTTAATGTGGTGAAAATTATTTAAGCACTGGAGAGATTTATTCACATGAAATTGGAGATAGGGCTGATAGATTTACTTAAATAAATTGTGAATCTGCGAAAATATCTTTTCAGCAGATGGATATGTTTTTTAACTTTGTTCCCGAAAATTTACACACAGGCTCGAAATTATGCGAGTAACATCCAAATATCGTCGCTTGGATGGAAAATTGCCGGATGCGTAATTTTGACAATTTGTAGTTATAGATGCAGTTATATATTTTAAAGTAAGATATTTCGATTTTTTGTTAACAGGTTTTTGGATATCTTCTTTAGTTTCCGAGTAATTGACTAAAATGTTTTCGGCTATTTGGTACAAATTGCGTTAGTATTGCTGTCGTACTAAACTAATCAAGATCTTTCAAATATAGTTACCTGTTCTTTAGTTTCCGACATATTCAGCATTATTATGAGTTTCATTTTCTAGAATCGGGTCACTTTTTCACTTTTCGTTTGCGTGTATTCACTACAGGTGGGTGAAAAAATTGTTGGAGAAATTTTGTTCGGGCGAAACTCATGATTAGGCTGATTAGTAAAAAGTATCGTTAATTTATAAAAAATTGTTATCACATTTTGGCGTTTATCATTAAAACTGACTGCAAATTTTTTGACAAATGTCGAATACGACAAAATTTTATTAAACTCATAAATGGTTGACACTAAACTAAAAAAATATGATAATTTAAGAATTTCGTGAACTGGTACATAGCATTCTTCGACACTTTGGAGAAGATCTGTAGTCGTGTTTCTGAGGAAATGAATTCCAAACTTCAATCGGGAGTTACCAAAAGTAACTTGTGACAATCTCTTATCCAGGCGACGATATAACATTTAGCTAAAATATGCATCTAAATAAATTATAATTGTCATTTTTTTCGTTTCGTTTCGTTGGAGTATATGCCAGAGGAGTAATAGGTATGTATATACATACAAGTATACCTAAATTAGCGCGTTGAGCTTGTATATTTATCTCTCTCTAGCGCATTAATTCTATATACGTCAGCACCAACGCCAAACTTATGTCTGTATTTAATAATGGCTCTATGACAAAATATTCATGGAATGTATTCATCGATTTTTATTTACTTCATTTCATACATTAGTATTGATCTGAATGTTTTTTACTAAATACCAGGAAAAAATATTTAATAAAAAACTATTTCATTTAAGATTAACCAACTTTTAGTTGCTCGGAGCTTATTTTGGAACGCTTCATGAAATATTTTCATAGACGGTAAATGCAACCCTGGGTGCATCATTAATGAGCTAAAAAACCAAACCAAACTAAAAATTCCATCTGAACCAATATTCCCAAAAATTATAAAGCAAAACAAAAACAAATTTTCCAATTTATGCACTGTTATTTTTATTATTGCAATACAGTTTCAGCTCTTCAAACATTTTCCACATTATGCTTTTAAAGCTAGTAGTTTCGGACCCCATTTGCTCATTTTTTTTTCAGTTCTGAATTTAGGCTAGGTTTTATGGGAACTTACTGTGGGTGCGTACAGACCACATTTTGTAAATATGTACATATATATGTATACACTTCAACTAAATTGTGATATTTAATTTTATTTTATAATGAATAATGAATTTAATTTGTGCAATTTTTTAAGTTTACTAGATGTAAGACAATTTTTAATTTTCTTTATATATTGCATGCTTTAGTTTTGATTCTTTTTAAGTTAAGTTGTAAAGGTGAAAATAGGCCTCCTAGGGAACCGAGCGAATAAAAGCATACCTCACAGGTGGTGTGGAACAAGAACAAATATAAATGGAATGATTTTCGAAATTATGAAATGGTTATTGGTTATATCTAAAAGGTGATGATTAATTTGAACGTTATTTAAGTTGTCTTTACACGGTCGATTTTGGTCGTTTAACCAAAATCTACCCGTGTAAATTGCAATTCAACCGTAAAATGTAAGCGTTTTGGCTAGTCGATATCTCAGTCAATTTTCCAATCGACAGAAATCGACCCGTGTAAAGGCAACTTCAGGAATTTTTTAATTTTCTTTTTTTTTGCTAGGGAACAATTTCTTTAAGCCATCTTCCGCAGCAATTTGTTGATCTTATCCTCACGGCTACTGAAATCACCAACCTCAACGTAGTGATTAGCCTTCTTGCGCCAGCCTCGGGTTGATGTGTTGAGATTGAATGGCAACAGGAAGTTGGAGGCTTTCTTGCAGTGGATTCCAACAGTGCGTGATTTGCGTTCGATCACAAAGCTGTCAGAGATTGGGACACGTTGATGGTTGTGCTTGACAATTCCACGTTTGTACATCAATTCACGAACTGATTTAATATTTGGATAACCCCATATAGGGTTCGGCATACGTAGCATATTAATGGTTGCCTTGTTCAATTTGATGAACAAACCGTGGTTAATGTGGCGAAAACGGAACAACAGTAAAACTTTACGCACTTTTGGTGCAACTTTGTTAATACCGAGGATACGGATCACAAAAGCCAATTTGAATTTTCAGGCCCGTAGAATTGGCCGCGTTTCTTTGCCACACAGCGCAACTCCATCTCACGGCGTCCATCACGGAGTTTTCTTGTTTGATATTTCTCAGCATGCACCAAGTTTTCACGTTTACGGAGTGCAATCACAGCAGAGCGCTTTAGTTTACGTTTGATCAGGGTAGCAATTTGCTGACCTGCTCTTGGTGAACTTCAGCTTCGACTTTGGGAGAGGAGGCAGTTTCCTGGAAGGTTGTCTGCCCTTTGCTTGCGGTTTCTTACCGGCCGTGATGGCAGTCATCTTAACTTGTTACTTAGCACGTTGAAAAAGCGAAAAAAAATTCGCCAAATGTTTGGAACACATCGTATATGAGCCAATCGATTTATAACATTTCTATAAACAATTAAATTAAATACTTTTTAATACATAGATATGCTGCAACCAGGCACTTACTTTCCCAAATTCCATCCTTCTAATCTGCATAACTTTCCAAATATGCCTGCTACTTCATTACTAATAACTCCATTTTCCAACTGCGCCTTCTTTGTTGGCTCAACATATCCTAAATAGACATAAATTTACATTAAACAAAAGAATTCGCAAAAATTAGCAAATAAAATACTCGCTTTGTTTTGTTTTGTCAAATTTCTGAGAAATGTGAATTCACCACGATGCGATACAGAAAGAACAAGGACCAGGGATGTTATTTTAAGTAAATCTATTATTCAGTGGCAAGGCGCAGAGCGTTCGGGCAGCAATATTAATTTGTATCAAATATAACATTAAACGGTGGTTCTAATACATTCTTTGATATTATTAACCAGAGTACATATATTATATGGTATTTCTTTCAAAAATTAATATACTATATGAACTTTTTTTTTCAAATATTTCTTAAGTTTCTTTCATGAGTGCTGAAAAGCAACCATGAGTGTAAGAAATTGTGTGCTACCTAAAATTTCACTTCTGGAAACTTTATCCCCATAAAGGACTTCACCACAGTTTTTTTACTGGATATACTGAGGTGCCATGGGAGACATTCCACAAAGACATGCACGGACCACTCGACCATTACGAGAGGTGTATAAATTGTATTCGCACCAATGAACGACTAAATATGGACTTTGATATAAATCATGTAACAACGAGTAAACTATGTCCAGTATATATGAATAAAATTGAGAATCATAAAAAAAATAGGATATTAGCAACGAAAGCAAGTAACAGGAATATATACGAATATACAAGGTCTTGTAAACAACTTTACACAGCTTGAGATAATAGCAGAACAAAATGACTTTGATTTTATTGTACTAACAGAAACGCACTTCAATGAGAACAACTAAGATAATGAAATAAGACTTGAAAATTATAATAAAATCAACTGTATTTCAAACTCATCTAGAACGGGCGGGGTTATCATATATACTAAGAAAAACTAGAAAACTGTAAAAATTCCAGAAAAAGTTATAGAATCGAAAATTTGGTGGCTAGCATGTAGATGTGTCGATTGTGGAAACGAGGTAATGATAGTAGCAGTATATAGATAACCAACAAGCTCTAAAAAAGAATTTTGCGAATTCTACAGGGACAACATAGAAGAAGTGATCGAAGTATGTGATAATTTAATAATGTTAGGAGATTTTAACGTAGATTGGAGTATAGATAGCTATTATAAATGCCAAATAGAAAGTCTATTTAACGACAATGGCTTGCAACAAAAAATGCAAGAATACACGAGAATCACAATAAATTCAAGAACAATTATAGATTATGTGGTCTCAAACATTCACAATATCATTTTGAACCAAACCTAACCTAAAAGTAGCAGATCATGAGACAATTGTAATAGAAATACCTTTTAGAAATAAAAACAGTAACTCACAGACACACAATAAAATAGACTATTTCCAATATGATAAAATCCTATTTAAACAACATCTCGACAGAAGAAATGTAGAATACGATGGTGAGCAGCCGCTGGATGATAACGTCATACGGATAGAGACAATATTAAAGGACATAATTTCGAAATATAGAAAAACAAAGATAAGCAAGTATTGTAAACCAAATAGATGGTTCGGTCAAGGTCTGAAAAAACTAAAAACAGAGTGTTGTAAACCTTACCTAAGTACAATCAACTCTGTACCATTTAATTTTAATTAATAATCTGGCAACATCATTATATTAGTTCTTCTATGTTATCTTATTATCTTCATACTTAAAATAAAGAGTCTTGTGGAATCTTTCAAGTGGCGACGAGGAAAACTTCGCAACTCAGGCTCGTGCGCGCGATATTCGTACATTAAATAGAATACAAAATTTTGCTCGTGCGCGCGATTTTTTTTGCTACGGTATTGATCAAATACCCATATTGCCGGGATGCCGAACGAAAGTGAAGTACTCCAAAAGCTAATATTGGAGCAAAGGGAATTCACCCAAAAGTTGCTTCAGCAGCAAAACCAATGGGTGCAAGCGTTCCTCGAAAGGCAAGTGAGTGGTGCTAGCGGGGACGCGGTGACAACTGTGCCAGCCTTTCATAGCTTTGCAAAAGACGTCCAAACATGGGAGTCGTACTTGCAACAGCTAAATCAACATTTTAGTGCGTACAACGTGGTTTCTGCCGAGAAGCAGAAAGCGTTTTTTTAGCGTGGATCGGAACGGAAATATTTGAACTCTTCAAGAATTTGTTTGGAAGCGAACAGTTGCATGAGCAATCGTTCTCAAATTTAACGGGCAAGTTAACTGAACATTTTCAGTCCAAACGACACATAGTCGCATAGGAAGCCCGAAACTCAGGGCATCTACGAGATTACTTTTCGGCTTCGGTAACAAGCGTATTCCATTGCTGGGTGAGCTGTATACGCAAGTGAAGTGTGTCGACAAAGAAAAGTATGTCGAAATTGTAGTAACCAACATTGACTGTGGGGAGAACCTTTTCGAGTTCGACTTGTTCAAACAATTTGGATTCGAAATCCAGCAAATTTCAAACGTCACGGAAACAGAAGTAGACCAAGTGGAAAAGGTTTGTACAAAATACAAAGAACTTTTCGAGCCAGCACTTGGCACGATTAAAGACTTTAAAGCGAGTGTCTATTTAAAGGCAAATGCAACGCCGAAGTTTTGTAAAAGTCGGAAAATTCCATTTTCGCAAATGCCGCAGTTTAAGAAGGAAGCCGAAAGACTTACCTATGCGGGCATTTGGAAACCGATTAAATTCTCAAACTGGGCATCTATAGTCCTAGCGCAAAAAGCAGATGTGTCTATACGAATTTGTGGGGATTTCAAGCAAGTAGTTAACGCGCAAATCGATATCGAGCGGTTCCCGTTGCCAACACGGGAAGCCTTGTTTCATGCTATTCGCCACGGTAAGCAATTTTCGAAAATTGACCTTAAGGACGCGTATCTTCAGATGGAACTCGACGATGACTCGAAAACCATATGGGTTGTCAACACGCCGCTGGGCCTATTCCAATATCAGCGCCTACCCTATGGAATAGCTAGCGCCCCAGCAATTTTTCAGAAATACCTAGAACAACTTCTCTTGAGGGATGTGGTAATTATCTGGACGACATCATAATAACCGCGTCAACCTTCGATGAACACATACAGCGCCTCGAGCTTGTACTACAAATTCTGCAAAACAGTGGCATCAAGTGCAAAAAAGAAAAGTGCTCGTTCCTGCAAGATATAATTGAATATCTTGGACGTCAATTGAGTTCTAAGGGCATACTACCCGACGAAAGTGGTCTGAGAGCGGTAAGAGACCTTAAACCGCCAAGGGATCTCAAACAGGTGGAAGCGTTTATGGGTAAGATAAACTATTACTATAATTTTATACCCAATTACTCTCAGCTGGCGGCCCCAATAAACATGCTGCGCCGTAAAAAGGTTAGTTTTAGTTGGGGACCAGAGCAACAGAAGGCATTCTTAGCGCCTAAATCACACATACTCAACGCAGCACAATTAGCGCATTACGATGACCAGTTACCATTGGTTCTGGCCACAGATGCTTCTTCTTACGGAATCGGTGCAGTGCTTTCGCATATGTATCCCAATGGTAGTGAAAGGCCCATTGCCTTTGCTTCCAAAACTCTCGACAAGCGTCAAGTGCGATATAGCCAGATGGAGAAAGAGGGCTTATCGATCATATTCGGGGTGAAGAGCTTCCACCAATACCTGTACGGGAGATCATTTACACTTATTACGGACCACAAACCCCTCGTAAATATTTTAAACCCTAGCACCCAGCTACCTTTGATGACGTCACACCGCTTGCAACGCTGGGCAATAACGCTTATGGCTTACCAGTACAAAGTCAAGTATCGCAAGACGTCAGACCATGGTTACGCGGATGCCTTATCGCGCCTACCAATAGGCACAGATGAACAATTCGACCACCAAGAAGCATGCTACAATGTGTGCCAAATAGAATCCCCAATAAATGCAAAAACTAGTGAAAAACATGCAAACAATGACGAAATCCTTCAACAAGTTCGCCATTCCGTCGAAGAGGGGTGGCCTGAGAAGTTACTTCCAAAAGACGCTCACCTTCGTCCGTTTTTCAACAGGAAATATGCCTTGACTATAACTAACGAGATCCTTTGCCTACAGACGGAGTATACACGCATCGTTATCCCGGGTTCGTTAAAAGGACGAATACTTCAATTACTCCATGATGGTCATTGGGGAAGTTCCAGGATGAAGCAGTTAGCCAGACAACAGGTATGGTGGGTCGATATAGATAAGGACATTGCTACGGTTGCAGACAAATGTGATGTATGCAAAATTGTCAATCCCACCTCAGCTAAAGAATATGTCAGTTGGCCAAAGCCAAAACACCCGTGGGAGAGGGTGCACATCGATTTTGCAGGTCCAGTATTCAACTGGATGTGGCACATTTGCGTTGATGCCTTCTCCAAATTCCCCTACATTTCCCAGATGACTACAACAACGACAGCTGCTACAATATCTGCGCTAGCTACAATTTTCACCATCGAAGGCATCCCAAAAACACTTGTTAGTGACAACGGGCCGCAGCTTACGTCAGAGGAGTTCAACGTTTTCTGCACCCATCAAGGTATAAAACATATTACGAGCGCCCCATTTCACCCTGCCTCAAATGGACTCGCAGAAAGGTTTGTCAGAACTTTTAAAACGGCTGTCAAGAAAAATATCGACGACGGCTTACAACTAAATGTGGCTGTGAGGAAGTACTTATCTACATATCGTTTTATGCCAAATAATGAGGGTAAATCGCCGGCAGAACTTTTGCATGGAAGACCGGTTCGCACGTTACTGAGCCAGGTTTTCGAATCACCGAAGGCAAGACTGAATCCGCCAGCTCCGAACGGTTCCAAGTTCATCGTAAATCAACCCGTATTCGCTCGTAACTATGCGAGAGGGGAAAAGTGGGTAAAAGCCGTAATTGTGCGACAACTCGGTAATACGGTTTATGTAGTCAACACGGCCGTCGGTTACTTTAAACGCCATGCAAACCAGCTGAAGCCACGGAACTCATCTAATGCCGAATCCTTTTTACCGTGGATTCCACCAACCAATGTATCTTCATCAATTCAACAGCAGCCATCCTCAACGGAAGCAGAATCACAGCAGCCAACGCAAATGCATAACTCGTCCATAGAGGGTATACCAGTTCGCAGGAGTGCGCGTACTCGCCTGGCGGTCGATCGCTATGCAGCACCAGATTTCCGGAAATAACATAAAGTACATGTAATCAAGATTTTCTTCATGGTGGAGAAGTGTTGTAAACCTTACCTAAGTACAATCAACTTTGTACCATTTAATTTTAATTATTAATCTGGCAACATCATTATATTAATTCTTCTATGTTATCTTATTATCTTCATACTTAAAATAAAGAGTCTTGTGGAATCTTTCACAGAGAAAATTAGGGCATATCAAGCAGCAAAGCTAGACAATACAAGATAAGAAATAAATATAAAACGGAAATAAATAAAGCTAAAATTAATAAATAAGCAACAGTATAATAAATACACAGGGGCAAAAACAAATGTGGAAAAAAATCAAAGAGTTAGTTTTGCGTGAAGAAACAGCAAAAATATAATGTGTAGAATTTGATGGCGTTGAATATAATGAGGATAAAGTAATTTCTAACAGATTTAATCAATATTTTGTACAAAGTGTAGAAGATATTAGTAAGTCAATTGATAATGTGCAATATGTAAATAACATTGGAGACCTAAAGAACGTATTTAAATTTAGTGAGATTACATTGGAAGAAATATATAATATATGTAAAACCGTGAAAAATAAACCGGACTTCTTGGGAATAAACAAGGGTATGATAACAGATAACTGGAGCAAAATCGGGCACAGCCTTCTGAATATGGTAAACGTATCAATTAGGAGAGGTGTCTTTCCAAATTCATTGAAAGAAACAATGATAACTCGTATACAGAAAGTAAGTAAAACAAAGAGAGCGGAAGAGTTTAGGCCGATTTATACATTAAAAACCATTGAAAAATTTTTAGAGAACGTAGTGAAAAAACAACTGATGGAATATCTGAAATCTAATGAACTATTCTCAAGATACCAATCGGGGTTTCGTAAACACGACTCTTGTGAAACAGCAATCAATTATATTATAGATGAATGGAAGACCGGTGGAACACAAAACAAAATTATGGCAGTTTTTTTAGATTTCAAGAGGGCTTACGAGATCATAGATAGAGAGATTTTGTTAAAAAAATGTACAAATATGGGATTCACGACGGGGAGCTGGTGTGGAGTGGTGTAAGTCATACCTAGAGGATAGATACCAAAGAACTAAAGTGAATGGGAGTATATCAGAATGTAGAAAGGATAAAAAAAATGAGTACCACAGGGATCAATACTGGGACCAATACTTTTTACTTTGTACATAAATGATTTAGAAATGGTGATCAGAAATTGCAAAATAGTACTATATGCTGACGATACCTTGATTTATGCTGAAGGAGAAAGTGAGGAAGCGAGCAAAAATAAATTATTAGTCGATATCGAAGAAGTCACCAAATGGTTAATGATGAACAAACTAAAATGAAATGAAGATAAGACAAAAATGCTAGAAATTAACATTAACGGCACTTTTGAGTTACAAATAAATAATATAAACATAGAAAAAATTAGCAAAATCAAATACCTAGGCGTAATTATTGATAAACAATTAAAATTTAGTGATCATATTGAATATATGTGCAGGAAGATTGATACAAAATTAGCCTACTTTAGAAGGATTCGCAATAAAATAGACATAATGACTGCAATAAAAATATATAATGTCATGATTAAACCACATTTTGAATTTTGTTCCACAATCACATATACATGCTGCAACCAAACACAAATGGAAAGACTTCAAAAATTACAGAATAAGGGTATGAGGCATATTTTGAAATGTAGTAGATACACATCAATTAATTCAATGTTAGAGACTTTAAAATGGCTTAACATAAAAGAAAGAGTCGAGTTAAATACCCTTATGGCAGTCTACAAAATTAAGAATAAAAATGTCCCAGTATATTTAACGGATAGGATTGAGTAAAGCACAAAATCGATGTTTTATATAGGTTTGAAATTATATAATACATTACCGGTGGAAGCGAAAAACGAGGCGAGATATATAGCATTTAAGCAAAAATGTGTAGAATTTATTAGGAGTAAGAGGAACAATAAAGTGTAATGTAAAGTACTTCTTCTTCTTCTTTTTTGGCGCTGTAACCGCCTAAGCGATTTTGGCCGAGTTCAGCAAAGCACGCCAGTCGTTTCTCCTCTGTGCCAACTGACGCCAATTGGAAACGCCAAGTGAAGCCAAGTCCTCCACCTGATCTTTCCATCGCAGTGGGGGCCTCCCTCTTCCTCTGCTACCACCAGCGGGTTCCGAGTTGAATACTTTCAGAGCTGGAGCGTCGGTGTCCATTCGAACGACATGACCAAGCCAGCGGAGCCGCTGTATTTTAATTCGCTGCACTATGTCCATATCGTTGTAAAGCTCATACAGCTCATCGTTCCATCGTCTGCGGTACTCGCCGTCGCCAACGCGTAAAGGCCCGTAAATCTTCCGCAAAATCTTTCTGTCAAACACTCCAATAGCCGCCTCATCGGATGTTGTCATTGTCCATGCTTCTGCGCCATATACCAGCACGGGCATGATGAGTGACTTATAGAGCGTGGTTTTCGTACGTCGAGAGAGGACTTTACTCCTGAATTGCCTACTCAGTCCAAAGTAGCACTTGTTGGCAAGAGTGATTCTGCGTTGGATTTCAATGCTGACATTATTATCGGTGTTAATGCTGGTTCCCAAGTAAACGAAATTCTCTACTTTCTCGAAATTGTAGGAGACAACAGTGACGTGGGTGCCAAGGCGTGAATGTGCTGACTGTTTGTTTGATGACAGGAGATACTTCGTCTTGTCCTCGTTTACCACCAGACCCATTCGCTTTGCTTCCCTATCCAACTTGGAAAAGGCAGAACAGACTTCGCGGTTTTTGTTACCGATGATGTCGATGTCATCGGCATAAGCCAGCAATTGCACGCTCTTGTAGTAAATTGTTCCTGAGCGGTTCAGTTCTGCAACTCTTATTATCTTCTCCAACATCAGATTAAAGAAGTCACATGAAAGGGAGTCGCCCTGTCTGAAACCCCGTTTTGTGGCGAACGGCTCGTAGAGGTCTTTCCCAATTCTGACGGAGCTGGTGGTATTGCTCAACGTCAGTTTACACAGCCGTATAAGTTTTGAGGGGATGCCAAATTCAGACATAGCGGCGTATAGGCAACTCCTTTTAGTGCTGTCAAAGGCGGCTTTAAAGTCGACAAATAGGTGGTGAGTGTCGATCCTTTTTTCGCGGGTCTTTTCCAAGATTTGGCGTATTGTGAATACCTGGTCTATGGAGGATTTTCCAGGTCTAAAACCACACTGATAAGGCCCAATCAGTTCGTTGGCGGTGGGCTTAAGTCTTTCACACAGTACGCTCGATAAGACCTTGTAACCTATGCCTAGAAAGCTGATCCCGCGGTAGTTGGCGCGAATGGCGGGGTCACCTTTTTTGTGGATTGGGCACAGCACACTTAAATTCCAGTCGTCGGGCATGCGTTCATCTGACCATATTCCGCACAAGAGTTGATGCATGCACCTTATCAACTCCTCGCCGCCGTCAGTGTTGCCAGAACTTTTTGGGCCGACCGGCTAGATTGGCAAAAAAAGGCGGCTAAAAACGGCTAAAATGTTTTAGTGAAAATCCATATGCTTTATTTAAATAAATCGCAAGAAACGAAAGACTAATTAATACCATTAATTTATATCGAGTGTATATTCCTCATCATCAAATGAAGCACTATTGTATATATCACCTGAATTCATTAACTTTAAGAGATCGTCATCTACAGTAAAATTATGGCAGCATTTTTCTTCACGTTTTAAACCGTATCTTATATATAAAATAGCGTTTAACGTTTTAACACACATTGGATTTCTTTGCTTAGTTTTTATTATATTCATTGAACTAAATATTCGCTCTACTTCTGCATTACTTATAGGCAAAACAAGAAAACTAAAAACTAGGTTGCAAAGGTCTGCAAAAGGGTTTTCTCCTAGGGCATTTCGAAATTGATAAACTTCGGCCAAAAAATTTACAGTTGAGTCTAAATTACTCCAGGTATGTAACGTTAACCGTTGCTATTGCATCTCTATGGATGTTATTTCGTCGGCGTTATATTTGTGTTTTTGAACAAATACTTTTGGTTTAATTACTCTTAATGCATTTCCAACCGAAAAAAGTAATTTTTTTTTAGTGTGGCAATATTTGTAGGGAGGCGTTGGCGTAATTCCTTTATTAAAGTGATAATAAAATAGCGACCATTTTCTCGAATTATTTTCTCGGCTTCGTGGTCAAAAGCGTTTGTGCTTACTTTTGTTTTTAAATACTCTTCAAAACTGTGATAAAACTGAGGAAATGGAGCAAGGTATGGTTCCAACGGGGAGCATATAGGATCAAATGTGTCCGCGCTAATAACCACAAGGGAGCATAGATGCGAAAGTAAAACATTGAGTTCATTAAAAATCTTCATTGGGTCTGCATTATTGCTTTCGAACAACTTGTTTACTTTTTGCACCTGAAAATTAGGCAAATAGTAAAATCGGCTAAAAACGGCTAACTTTTTTTTACAAACCGGCTAACAAATCGGCTGCCGGCTAGATCGAATTTTCTCCGGCTAGTTGCTATCAAAACCGGCTAAATCTAGCCGGAAACGGCTAAAATGGCAACGCTGGCCGCCGTACTTGAATAGCTCAGCTGGCAGGCTGTCAACTCCAGCAGCTTTGTTGTTTTTCAGCCGCGTTATTGCTATACGTACTTCGTCATAGTCACGCGGTGGAACGTCGACTCCGTCATCATCGACTGCGGGCTCGGGTTCTTCTTCTCCACAACTTTCCGTGCTGCTTCCATTTAGTAGGGCGGAAAAGTGTTCCCTCCATAATTTAAGTACGCTCTGGACATCAGTTACTAGGTCGCCATTATTGTTCTTACAGGAGTACGCCCGGTCTTTAAACCTTCCGTAAGTCGCCTAACTCTCTGGTAAAATTTTCGGGCATTCTTCCTGTTGGCCAGCATTTCAAGCTCTTCGCACTCACGTATTTCGGCCTCTCTCTTCTTATTGCGGCAAATACGTCTCGCTTCCCTCTTCAGATCCCTATAGCGGTC